GCCTAGTACCTCAGTTAATCCGGACAGTAAGCTGTCTCCACCGTACTTAAATACCTCTGGAGTCATTCCATCAGGTCCCGCTGCTTTGCCTAGTTTCAGATTGGTGACAGCTTTAGTAACCTCAGTTAGTGACGGAGGACCTGTGTCTATATCCCATTCAGGGAGGTGTTGGATGCTCGGAAGGTTGAGCGTGGCTGTGGGCAAATTAAACTGCTCCTCATAATGCTCTTTCCAACGATCCAGTCGTCTATCCTGGGAGCTAATTATAGTGCCATTTTTTTCCGAGATTGTCTCACTAATGATTTGTCTTCTCCCACCCGTTTCCCTGATGAGTCCAAAGAGTTGCCTGGTGTTGCCTATCCTCGAAGCTTTCTCCATCTCTTTGGCTTTTGTCGCCCACCACTGTTCACGGTCCTTGCGGAGACTTTTCGTAAGTTTCCTCTTGTGCAGCTTTCGCTCCTCATTGAATTCGGAGCTCGCCGGAATAAGTCTTCTAGCATCTATCAGTTCGGATGAGGCGGTGGAGATCCAGTGGTTTTTACTCACCTTTGGGTTTACCTTATTCACAGCTTTTACAGCTGTATCTATGGCTGCCTGGATATTTTTCCAAGCTTCTTCAGGGTGAGCACAGCTGTCGAACACAGATATGTGTTTAGCTAGTTCTTCCTCAAATACGGATTTAGTTTCCTGATCGAGCTGGGGACGTGATGGTTTTACCGCCAGCTGTTTCCTACGTCCGTTCAGTCGTAAGCACACCCGAGCGCGGACCAGTGCATGGTCGGTATCTACGCACGTGTTCCAGAAGGAGCGACAATCTCCTACCGACCCACGCCAACGATAGCTTATTGCTATGTGGTCTATTTGTGTCCAGCGTTGGTTTGATGAAGGGGGTCTCCAAGTCAAACAGTGTCTCTCCTTGTGTTTGAAGTTAGTGCTTACAAGAAACAAATGATTATCAGAGCAGAACTGTAGGAGACGGTCACCGTTGTCGGTTCGCTGGCACGGAACTCCATAGGTGCCACCGACATCCTTCTCAGATTGACACAATTTCCCTACTTGAGCGTTAAAGTCACCAGCTAGAACGACTATGTCTGAGCGTTTAGCCTTTCGCACCAAACTAGACAGCTTTTGGTAGAACTCATCCTTCGTTTCATCTGAACTGCAGTCAGTGGGGGCGTAGGCGGAGATTACGAAAAGGCATCGGCGAGTAGTGCAGTCCTTTCTCCTTCTTACTGATCCGTTCAGGCGGACAGCACACATTCGGCTATCTACCGGGATCCAGTCAAGCAATGTCTTTTCTGCCCTAGTACTCAAAGCTATCCCTACGCCAGCTAATCCTCGTGAACTAGCTGTGGCATCTCCTGACACCCTCAAGGTGAATTTTGCAGATTCAACCTGTTGGCCAGGTGGGGTTAGGTGAATAACCACACTTGGGTCTTGTATGCGTGTTTCTGAAACACAGCATACATCAATGGCTCGTGATGCCAGGGTCTTGGCTAGTGATGCTTGTTGTCCTATTTGGCAAAGTGTCCTAACATTAAGAGCTCCTATATGAAATTGGTGGCGCGGCTTTAAGAGGCTGTCGGTGGTGGTTTTTTGGCTTCCATCGTTTTTAGTGGACGCAGAGTGGAGAGGAAGTGGAGAGCTATCAAGTCGAGGAGTTGCATCAGTGGAAGGAAGGCAAGATGATAGAGATGAAGATGAAGACAAAGATGAGTGAGTAATAGAGAGGTTTCGTGTGCATTTCGGATTGTGAGGGCGATTGTTACTTCCCGGCTGCCCACACCGTGGAAGTTGGTTGCGTGACCGCAGAGCCCAGGGGACAACTGCTTGAGGCCGGTCACACGCGGCCTGTTTTTGTTTGTTCTTTTTGTTTGGTGTGTCTCAGTAGCAGATTTATCACTCCTGCCCTGTGACACGGCAGCAGGAAGCGCGGTCGTTGTTAATCCGGGCCACGGCCGATCCGGCATGAAATTTTGTGATTTTGTATTGGACATGATGTTGGATTGGGTAGCTGCTTTTTGTTTAACCGCTATCCAAACAACCTGCCTGGCATGGTAGAACCTCAAGAGACATAAGTCTCAGCCAGTATAGCTTGATTAGGTCATTGCGGTGTTCAAGCCCGACCACCACGTCAAGGTAGCAGCTTTCGGTCGGGTGACCGAAGTATATAAGAGCAAATATAGAAAAACTGTTAACAATTTATTAGGTTTTATCATTAAAGAACAAATCACTAAATTTCTTCGTCAACCTAAGTTCTGAATGTAGAATACTTATTTTACTAATTATAAGATAGGCCCCAAAAATCTATCAGAATAACAAACAAACAAAAATGTCGGTAAAATAAATTTGCGTGGGTGATGATTGGCGGTGCTAAAAATATTCACAAAATAAGATCTAAATCTGAAATATACATGGTAGACAGTTAAAGACAGATCTTTCACAACTTCAATATCTGTGCTTCTAAATATATTTTTTTTCAGTGCATTCACATATTTTTCTTTTTAATCTTGAAGGGATATAATATTGACTGAGATGATATTGCCCCATGGTGGACATTACAATTTCTCTCTTAACTCAATCTTGTTTCTCATCTGGACAATTTCAAATTCACAGTTTCTCGTTCGGTTGTCGTGTTATTATGTCATTCATATTTAGGCGTTACTCAATATTATTTTTTCTTTTGTGTGTGTGCGTGTGTGTGTGGGCAAAGTTCAACAATAGCGTCCCAGGAGTGTGAACGCACGAGTGACCTTCAGCTGACCAATCATAAAAATGAGGAATGCTTACTTAAAAAAAAAGATGTATATTGATAAGAAAACGCTTGAAAACGCATTCAACAGGTTACCTTTCTTCGACATGGCTTAAAAATACGTCCTAGTTATAACCATAAGTATCAGTTGCTAAGTTAGACTAGTTTCTGTGAATGAGTATTCACCGAGATGACTACAGATAAACAGGTTTTGTGAATCGTTTATCTCTCTTATCCTGTTTGCAGTCTTCCGAAACAGCCCTCGGTTGAATTATTGTGGTTTCCATCAAGAGGAGAGACGACTACTTAGCAGCAAAACGTGGATAATAAAACAAATTAAAATAAATGACATAAATGACTATAAATCTATCCCTAATCGTAACCTTAAGCTTAATCCTGATCCTAATCATAACCTTATCCAAATCGTAGTTTTAACCCTAATGCTAACCATAACCCTGATAATAACCCTAACCCCAATACCTACCTTAGCCCTAATCCTAAACCTAACGAGCTATTAACACATTGTCCAAACAGTACTTAAAAAAACGTGATCTGGGTGAAATTCGGTCCTAAGTTGGTAAATAGCGTTAATATTTCAGCTATGATAATGACAAATGCCGTTAGCCAACGAATAGCATGCAATCAACATAATTGGAGCGTTCACACCCCTGGGACGCTATTGTCGAACTTCGTGTGTGTGTGTGTTCCAGCTTGAAACTCCATGATATTTATATTTCTCAAATTAAAGGAAAAATGCCATCAGTTAGTTCTTCTTCTTATTATTCGATGACTACCTTCCTTTAGGTGCATGAGTGTGTGTGTGTTGTGTTGCGGTATGCCATATGAATACTTATTCTTTTTAGCACATCATATGTGCTACGTATAGTGAGTGGATTTGTTGGAAAGTGTATCTGATTATTGAATTGTGTTTTTAAATTTTTCATTAAAATTTGAGGTGAAATTATTTTTTTTAAAGAGAAAGAAGCAATTTTTTATAATAGTAATTATCACACACACTTTATCACAATACACATCTATCTGGTCAGTCACATTTGAGTCTAGGAGGTGTAATGAACTCAAGCTTTCTATTTTATTAGCAGAAGAAAATACACTAATGAAGAAAATTTCACATTGATTATAAATTATTTGCTTTTTCCTTTGCTTTAGTTTAAATTCTGCTCATGAACTGACTTCAGTCTTAGAACCATTCAATACCAAAGAGTATTGAGCTCTTTCCTCTTAATTGGGGACTCTTCATCAGTATGCAACCATAACCCTACCAGGAATCGAACCCAGGACTTTCGAGTTACTAGGTAAACCTGTTGACCATTTAGCCAGTGGAACGGAACCCAGTTAGCTCATAGATTCTAACTCCTGTCAATGCGTGGAAACAGCTCTGGAGTACCCATTTGCTTTCAGCACTTCTCTAACTGAAGTTAGTTCTTGTTTAAACTTGGGGAGCCAATCAAGTTACTTCAGACCAATACACTTGAAAATTAATCTATTACTCAGTGGTAGCTGACGACGAGATGAATTTGTTTGTGAGAAGTTGTGAACACCGAGGTCCACCAGATTCGGTATGCGGGGAGATACTCGCTGATGGCACTGGGTGACAACCGCGCCATATATCGTGTATTGGTAGGAGTTGGAATTCATGGGGCATTAGATTTCTTCCCAGTGGCTAAATGGCCAACGAGCTCACCTTGTGTATCAAAGTCCTGGGTTCGACATCCAGTTGTTTCACAAGTGCATGCTGTTGAAGAGAGTCCCAGACTAGTAGAAAACAGCCACCCAGTACTCTATGGATTTTACTGATCCTCTGACTGGAGTTATTTCGTGATGAAAGTTGAAAACAGTCAAATCCCTGCTAAACAGCACTTAAAAATTTGCTTTAATTCTTACCTGAAGTAAATATCTAGTCATTATATCATTAAGTTAGCTGAACATGGAGGGAAATAAATAACGCAAACGATTTATCTTATCTGTATTCTCTCTATTTGTCCCTGTTTGCTTTTATTTTCTTCCATCTCTTTGTCCCTAGGTAATTGTTTTTCTTTATCTCAAAAGACTAATGGTAACTACAGAGAGAATAAATCATTCATGTTTTTTATCTGTTTTAAATTCCATAAAATGATAAACTATCAGTTTGAGCAGTGTTATATTGTCTTAGTGTTGATATGCTCAATGTAAAACTCCCCTTTTTATATTGATCGATCATCATATCAGTTTTCTTCTTACCTTCTTCTAGCATCTTGGAGTATGATAATCGTGCTTTACTACAAGTTCAGCTGGAGGAGTTAGCTAGTCGTGATCTTATACAAATGGTTCCACTAGAGGGTAAACATATTGGTCAGTTTGGTTTTCGACGGAAAATCCACTTACAAAATCACGGTAAGTTTCTTGTTTTACTTAGTTTTTTTCTCTAAAATGGACATTCTTTCTTATTATGTCATAATTTTTTAGTGTGTTTCGTGTAAACTCTTATCTTATGAAGTCAACAAAGATCAAATTTACATATAATGGAGAAGGTTTGTAGCCCAAGTAGATGGTTTTGATATAGTTGTGTTCTCTAAGCTGGATGGTTTATTTGTGAAGCTTTCATTGCCCTACTAGGCAACATCTTCAGCGCACACTTCAGTTTGAAGTGAGCTTTTACATTTCTCCACGAGTTTATAAGTCATCTCTGCTAGTGACCTTGAAAGTGACGGGTTGAAGGTGTGAAAAAAATACAAAAACAACCAATTACACATTCAGTAAAAAAAGTGTATGAATAGAGTTAGCCTTTAAGGTTATATAATTACTCAGGGAAATAGTAGATCTGAAGTTAGCTCATTAGTGAGCTGAAATCACTAATATGGGTGATTACACAGTCAGTATAATCAGAATTAAAAGGCACTTACGCATAAAAAAGCGAGAGTTTAGTCATACTCTCTTTTTGTTCTCGTAAGTTTTAGTTGAAAACGTTTTATTACAATAATTTTGGTAGATCTCAGTAAGTTTTATGCCTTCTATACATGTAGTATTGAGAATGACGTGTTGATCTTGACAAAATGCCGCGTATCTATTAGGTGTCTGGTTATTGCACTTTGTGACTGTCTGCTTCGTCTCAGACGTTAATTCTTTGAATGTGCTCAGAAAACCTTTCATTGGACTATCTACTACAAGTATATGTAAATATGTAAACGCAGTTCGAGGTGAAATCATCAGGGCACTTAGGCATTTATGATTGTCCTATTGACCCTTTCGTGGTGTATATGAGGAGGGAAACAGCCTTTCACTGTTCCTTTCATTATCATGTCAATCCTTTTGGGATAGTGCTTCTCCTTTGTATGGAAAACCAATAATGACTTTTTTCCTCTTCTTCAGCATACTTCAGGATAAATCCTTTAAAATATTTCTGCTGTCTTAGGGCATTCTTTCAAAATCATTGTAATTCTAGGAGTAGTCTGAAGCTGATAAGAGCCTGTGAAATAGAATGATTTCGTTGTACCCTGCAAATTTAGTCTTTGTTGATTTATCAAGATTTTTATTTGGTAATTTTATTTCTTTTTCTACAACTCATTTTGATGTCTTGAGTAATTTTTTTTTTTGACTTTCACGTCTGTAACAGAATTTCCCAAACTTCTTAACATTATCCTTGAACTCAATGAAGACAATAGATTTTAGCGGTATACTTGAAAATTTGTCTAATAGGCATGCAAGCAAGCAAACAAAGAAAGTTATATTGAATGAGGAAAAAGCGTAAAATGTTAGCGTAAAATGAGTTATTCCTTCCCACTACAATTCACGCTGATGCATAAAAAGAGTGTATAAGTCTAAAACCTCAATAATCATTGTCATAGACTTATAGTCCTTAGATGGTTGAAGGCGATTGGCAGAAAGTCTTGGACCTAGGTTTCGTGCTAGTTGGGGTTCATCAGCAAGGCGTATCTGCAACCTTGACGGGACTCATGTCCCTTCTGAGATTCGAACCCGCGCCACCCAGTGAGTACTGCAGTCAGAGACGTTACCACTGAGCAATTCGGGTTGGCTCGCGATTGACCTCCTGTAGAACTGTAGTGGATATTTTAATTTGGCACTAGTAACTAGTGTGATGTGTCTAGTCCTGTCATAGGTGCAGACTGAATTCTATCATTTTGTACATGCTGCTAGTACTGGCGTTTCGTGTTTGTAGTTTTGTTTGTGATATCTATTCATCACTATGCTACTTATAGTATGTCAAATTTTTTTCTGTGAAGAGATCATAAATGTTTTTCTTAATGTTGTAGTTGTTTAAGGGATAACAGTAACTTTCACACGTGTTTAATACTTTTTCAGTTTAATTACAGTGGAATTGTTTGTTATCTTGACATTTTTCTAAACACTTTCACATTGGGATAATAATAATAATAATGATCTACTTTATTCCACGAAAAAAATTTACTTACAATGCTGAATGGAATTCTCAGTATTTGTCACAATATTGTGTCTAATTTACTCAAAATATAAATAAAAAATAACCACAAGAATTTGTCCATATTTTGCAGTAGAAACAATGTTAAAACTGTGTAAAGTACAAAATGAGAATATAACTCTAATAATAAAATTAATAACATTGGGTTTGTTTCAAACAATATTGTCGATACAGTATGGAAATTTTAGCATCTTATGGAGTATAGAAATCTAATGTTCTCTTAAAGTAGGATGATGAGGGGTAAACAAAGAATAACAATTTATACAGAGGTTAAATGATACTTACACTAGGAGAAGTTAAACAAAAGCGTAAAATGAGAGGATTATAAATGTAAGATAATAATAATAACAGTACAGTTTGGTGGTACGGATCAGAAACTTGGCGGGTCACAGAGAATATTTCCAACAGCCTGTTGCAGACCTTTATCAACCAACAACTGTCTTCGCTCTATACTGAAGATGAGATGGCCAGGCCGGAAAGAATCACCAACAAGAAACTATGGCTGGGAACAAACAAAACAAGAACCGATCGCCAACCAACAAATATGCAGGAGAAAGTGGAGATGGATCGGATGGACACTCGCTGAGGAGGCCGCTGGGTGACATTGCGCGCGCGTCAGGTCATCGCTCGAGTAGAACCGGGCCGAAAGGAAAACGGCGAGTGGGACGTCAGTGCAAGGGTGACATGGAGGAGATCGTGTGAAGAGGAGTTGAAACAGTATGGACTAAAATGGATGCAGGTGAAATGTATAGTAGAAGACAGAAGGAAGTGGAGACGTGCAGTTGGAGCCCTATGTTCCACTAGGAACCCAAGGGAACAATGATGATAAAAAATAATAAAGTTTGGTGGTATAATGATGCAGAAAATTGTTTATTTACTAATGCAAAGAAGATTGGTTCGTCCCTGACACTATTTTCACCACATAAAATACGTCCCACCAAATATAGTATCATGGAATTTTTATACTTAGACGTGCGTGAGGAGACGTAATATGAAAACTGCTGGTAAACAAGGGTGCTCACAGTCTGATAAAATTCCTTTAGCAAAATTTTTTTTTGCATGAAATCAAGTGCCTGTCAATGAAGATGTCAATTATATCACCCAGTGGGATATCACTCTCCCTATTGATAGTCTTCACAGTCGTACGAAGTATGACATAGTCTTTTTTAAGCAATCCATAATCTAATATCGGAGTGCTTCAACTATGATCACTACACTAAAGAAAAACTGATACCTTTTATTGTACTTGGGTAATATACAATGAAACGTGTTCACTATCTGCTCTCACTACTAGCGGAGTATTTAGCCATTATTTAGCCATTGGGTCAGAATTGTACTAGTCTGTATTTCTAAATTTATGCTCATTCACAATATAGAAAATTTTCTTATTCCTTGTGTTCCGAATGAAACATTGGGTTTAAAGCTTTAGAGTTTTTAACAACGGTGATGTTGCTTTTGAGGGATGGAGTGACTAGCTTCACGCCTCTCTTTCCGTGGCTTACTATCAGCTGTGTAAACTACGTGCTGTGAAGGAGTGCGTCATCCGGGAATCGAACCCGGACCATGTATATGTCTGGTCAACATTCTACCATTGTGAACCACCTACGCTATAGGACAATTACATCAAGATTTGAATAAAGCAAGAACAACAGTGGTTTTCGCAGAATAAAATGGTACCATCATTTATTTCTCTGGCTTCTCATCAGCTGATTACAGGCCGAAGTCATTATTAAATATATCTACTATTTTATTCTGAACTGTTGTTCTTGCTTTATTCAAATTCATTAAGGGGAATAAATGTATGAAAATAAATCAAGATTGGTTAATTACTATCAATAAGTCTGGGAGACACTTGTTATTTTATCTCTTTATGATGTACATTTTCTCCCACGATTTTCTACTTTATTGCCGGTGGAGTTCGAATAGTTTCACTTTTCGTTCCAGAAGAAAAGGAAATTAGTTTTCAGTAAAGTTCACCTGTGCGTTGGTGGCACAACGGTTAGGACGCCCCAACGACCATGCACTTAGTCCGGGATTCGATTGCGGGCCGACGCACTCCTTTACCTCGCTAAGCAAGTAATAAAGCTGGTAAAGAGGAAAGGTTGGGTATGAGGCTAGCAACCCCATCCTGTAAAAATAAACAGTGCTACCGAAACTTCAAGCCTCTAGCTTGAAGCCCTATGTTCCACTGGGAACGTGAAGGAATTAGAAAAAAAGTTCACCTACCTATAGAAGGTGGAAGTGTATTCTCCTATAAATTAACTTATTTTTTTTGTTTGACTAATCCCGTGACTAATGTGTGCAGTGTGAAGTGAATATACTCACTTCGTTTATCTAAAATGTTTCTTGTCTTAAAATCAATAATTCTGATATCATTTGTCACATATTCTTTGATGCTATTATTACTAGTTAAGTAGATTAAATGTTTTACTCATATTTCTGCTGTAGTTATTATTGATTTCACTGGATGAGTCACCCCCTAGACGTACGTCATCATTAAATTGTCTGTCTGCAAATATGACAATAGAAATAGTCATGAGAATACTACGACCGCTAAATTATGTTTAAACATAATTTTAGAAATAAAGTGGGGTTGAAAGAACCATTCATCATTGTCGATAGAGTAGATGTGATGCGAAGTTGTCGTACTGTCATGTGGATATATCTGAATATATTCAGATCTTTTCCGAATGTATGCAAACGTTCCGAGATTATTCTGTCGGAAATCTGATGTGTCTTAGTTTCTAGTCTTATAATTTATAAAATCATGCATTGTATATTGAGTAACCTTTCAAAGTTCATGAATAAATTCAAGGTTATTTTCTTCAATTAGTAGTGACATTACATATCTCACGTTCCAATTGATTCTAGAAATCAACTGCTTTGGCTATCGTTCTTCTTTAGTCCGCATGAATTATTGCGTTTTTTCACCTATCTGTCTGTTTTCTACATAGAACTTTGCACCGATGTGCGGAAGTTCAAGTCGCCACACTCCCTCCTTGTAGCACACAAAGCAAGAGAAGAAAGTAGAAGAAATGCATAATAGAGACAGTAAACAGAGGTGTGAGACAAAGGAATAGTAATGACGAAGAACAACATAGTTTCATTGGAAATCATACGTCACAGGGAGTGGATGCATCTGCGCCAGCTATTGAGAACGATTTTTAGCCATATCACCAATTGTTTCCAACCATTGGTGTTTACCGTCCCGAGGACCCCAACCAGGAAGTTTACACCTTCCTACGTGACAGGCTTAAACTACTAACTGTTGTGGATTTCATTGACTGGAGAAGCGATGTTTTGGTTTGACCGCCGCTAGCTCTTTTCCAGCCTGACCCTATATTAGCTAACATTGGCCGTCGAGGAAGGCGATGACTAGGCATACGTAAAACATATCCTAACCATCTCAGTCGATGTAGTTTCACGGCCTCGTCGATTGATTTCCCCTCCTTACCTAGCACTCGACCGAGGCCTAACCTCAATATTGCTCACCTTATTATACCACTTCACATGGGGGTTAGAGCGCAGGCACATATGATCAAAGGCAGCTATTCTTTTCATGTCTTCCACTCTCAATGGGCATTTTTCACCTATGCATAATATATAAACGTATGAATGAATAGCTCTCAAATGAAGGATTCCTTTATACATAATACTCCCTTCTTGAATTGTCTTTTACACTCAAGTAAAGATCAGGTCGTAAAGCTTTCACCCTGCAAAGTGAGATTCAAATAACTATCCTACAACCCCATGATCATTTGCTCCCATACAATTAAAGAAGGCTTAGAGACACTTCCATAGGTCTTTGCCTCTTTTTTCAACGTCTATCATATGATGTCAGTGCCTGGACCTCAATACGCTATTTGTTATTCAGCTATCTAGTAACATTTATGTCGTGAACTGGCAGAAGTTAGAATTCAAGGACGATTGGATCGGGTCCCAGTGGCTCAATGGTCTACGAGCTCGCTAGCCTTGTAACACGAAGGTCCTGGGTTCGAATCCCGGTGGGTGCATACTGATGAAGAGTCCCAAACTAGGACGAAACAGCTGTCCAGTACTCCCAGTGGTTCTCAAACTGATGTCAGCTTATGATTAAATCCTCCATGCAATCAAACAAAATCCCTACAAAAACCAATACTTGAAAATAAATAATGGTTTTGGAACTCAAATATCGTATTCCTTTAAGTTCCGAGTTGGAGCATAGTGCTTCAAGCTAGCAGTTTGAAGTTTCGATAGCAATGGTTTTTCAGAACAAGATGATTTTGAGCGGACAGTTGTTTTCCGATAATTCTCCTTCAAGCTCTACAGTTATAAATCCATGAATATTTTATTTCATATAGGCAGCCATTAAAGGCATATGAAAACTATATGGGAAACTATATTGAGGTATATGTATAAAACAGAGTGATAGTTCGTTATTTAATACTGTCAAATGAACGTATACAGAAAATGCAGTCATTGAGAACACAAGATAAAGTGTGAACAAACAAAAGGGTGACATGGGAATGTATTTATAGTCAACCGAGTATAAGTTTCATTGTGGGGTGTTGGGGGAGTGAGTTATATTCACTGGTGTGTGAGGAAAATGATTACCACAAAATACATACAAACAAATACCGAAAAATGGGGAACATCGAATGTAAGTTCAAGCAAGGGTTGACAGATATCAAGTATAGTGACACAATAAAGAGATTAAGCTGTGAACTTTAATAAAATAAACAACAAAGGTCAATGTAGGCATGATTTAATGAATTCATCAAATTTCAGTAGAACTCTTCAGCTGAGTACTCTACATACGGGGATATTTATACTATTGAAATTACATTGAAAGATATGAGACTAATAAGCAAATAAACTACATTGAATTAATCATACTAGAGACATAATAAGCTTAGTTTAAATTACAAAAGCTTGACTCATAATAAAGGTAATAATAGAGTAAAGTGAACTAGGTGGAAAGGCATAATATGACATGCGAAAAATAGATGACTATGTCTCTACTGTCCCTGTAGTAGGCCAGGGTAAACAAAACCAATGAATGTGCTTCTTTTGCACACATAAGTCAGGTGTTTTCTTATCAATCTGCATAGCTTCTGCTATAGCCAAGAGATGTAATTGTGTGCTTTTAGGCACATTGTTTGACACCCTATATACAGCCGTAAATAACTCATCTTTTTTGATGTGGTGTTCACTATCCACTAGATGAGACAGAATGGCACTATTTATTGATTTGGTTATACTTTTTCCAAGTCAGTGGTTTTTATTTTTACGAAATGGGGTTGCTAGCTAGCCCTAGGCTCAACCTTCCCTCTTTACCGGCAACTTACTACCGGCTTAACGAGGTTTAGGAGTGCGTCTGGCAGGGATCGAACTGCAGGCCACGTGCGTCGTTGGAGGGTGTTCTACCACTGAACCACCGAAACCATATATCATTGTAAATAATTATGTGTTTCTTAAATATTCTGTCTTTGAAACAAAGCAAGAGGAACACATTGTGCAAGATAAAATGACATCATTATATTTAGTTAATTCTTCTCAGCTGCCTACAACCATGAACAACTTAACATCAATATACAAAATATTCAAATACTGTAGTTGTTGTTGATCATAAAGGTGATGAATTTTATCTTTATTTATATTCTTGACCGAAGCTCTTTTTTGACCTGTGTTCAACTAAATTATTTTACATGAGTTTATCGTTGATTTATGCACCTCTATTCAAGTTGTAATCTTGGTTCGTAATTCTAGAATATTTCTTTATTATTTGTAGACATTCTAATGACCTTAACAACCTCTTTTATTCCTCTCCTTAATCACGTGATATTAATGATCCATTCATCCATCCATCACTTTTATGATCAATAACTACAACATTTGAATATTTTGTATATTCGTATGAAATTGATCATTTTATCCTACCCAATATGTTCTTCTTGCTTTGTTCAAGTTTATCAGTGGCAGTAATCATCCGGAACTTCTGTCTTTATTATTCACTGTCTCCCTTGAACATTTCAACACAGAAATCATCATCGGGCAGTTGACTTTGAAGCATATTAAATACTACTCTTAAATTTGAAGACACACTGCTTATAACGGCAATGAACTGTATAAACCCATCGCCAAATATGTTATAACGGAGTGTTAGTGATATGTTTGTCGTTGTCTAACCTGACTACAGTGCACCTCCAGATATGACACTGTAACCAGCTGTGATCACTTGAAAATATTTGCAAGCTGAGGTATACACAGGAGTCAGATTTACCTGCGACAACCAAGACAACAACAACTTTTTTTATAAAAAAAATACAACGTATATACATCGTTTACACATCCACGGAAATTCAAACCATAAATGAATAATCAATATCTTTGTGGTTAACAATGATATGTAGTCCGTCCTAACATACATCTATATGTGCATGACTCCCATGTCAACCATTAGGATTTGCTGATCAAACTGAAATGATCTAAACACTGGATGGCGGTCCCGTTCGTCATGCATATATGCTCGCTTTCTTAATTGCCATTTGTAGTATTCTGGCGTGTTCTACTGACACGATTTATCAGTAGTATATAAGGAAGCGTTTGTTGAGCTTAAAAAATATCAAGTAGCATAGTGATAGACTTGACGTCAAAGACAGTAAATTAACCAGTGTTGCGGTATAACATGAGAAACACGAAAAGAAGATAAATTCCGAATAAGCATCCCGTTACCAAGTCCCTTGTCTTCTACCGTTTCACAGTATCAAGCAGGCCTGATGAATCATTTCGGTTTACAAAGGAAATTGTGGTGAAATTCCACCTCTAACTCTGTAAATTTTGAATTTTGATTCAATGAAGATACATTCTTTGTTTAGGTTTTCTGGCATTTCAAATATTTCATATTATGGTGCTGATGTAATTTATTATTTTTATGACATGCATACATTCCCGATGCAGTGATTATTATCATTAAACTAAGCAATGTATTATTACAATGTTATGTTTTCTTTTTGTCTGTTCATCTTTAGATTAAATAGGTAGTAGATTTCTTGACTAATTCTAATCTACATATTTGTGTTCTTTCTTTCTTTCTCTCTCCTTCTACTTTAGTTGTCAGAGAAATGAAAGGAGCAAATCATATGCAACAAGTATCTACTAGTGAAAAACCGACAATAGCAATTATTACTAATTTACTATGTGAAAAGTTAGCTGTAGATGCAATGATGGATCAGAAGACAACATTTGTACGCTATAAAACTGAAGGTAACGAAAATTAATTACATTTTTAAAAATATTTTTTGTAGTCGTTCAGTGTCAAACAGCAATTCAAGCACCACCGTGTATTGTGCATCACAGTAACTTCTTCTCTAACAACAACAGCCTGGTAGTAGGTAGATGTACATTAGTTGTATGGACTGTCACCATGCTGTCGTGGGAGAAGCAAAAGCTACTGTGAAGTAGTACACCGTGACTTGAGTTTCTATTTGGCACCTCCTTGAATTTTGTTTGTCTGCTTGAATGATTGTGTCATCAACTAATAATGTTTTTGTCAATATCTACCTATACGCTTATTTGAACTTAACAATGGAATTCTACATTGAACTAATTAATCAGGAGGTAATTCAGAATCAAATGCTTATCCCAGGGAAAAACAGTTTCATTTTCTACCCTAAAGTTGTTGTAGGTGAGGGTAAAAGCTGTCGTGGGATGTTTTTGATCCTAGTATAGTGAACGTTCCAACAGATATTCCATCTTTATAAAAAAAAACAACTACAGATGATATTATAACACTTTTGAAACAGTCGAACGTAACACCTCTGATAGGATTACAGTACTCCTCTAGGTACACATATTATTCGTAATTGTTGACCACCTATATTCTACCTATACGTAAGTAGTACTATATTACTGTGACGAAAGTGTGGCAAGTTCGTTTTACAAATAACTTATATTCTCGCCGTATACTCGCTATTAAATTATCATATATAAATAAGATTTCCATTTTTTTTAAAAAATTTTTCGCCAAATAGGTGAATCACATGTCTATACTATCGGAAATATCGGACCGCATAGAGTTATTTCAACAAAATTACCCATGGTTGGTCGGGAATTACAGGAGAAAATTTCCTCTGGGAATATAACAACACGATTACTTGGTTAGTGTTCACTAATATTCTGTTGATAATATCATTTGATATTTTTTTCTTGTTTGTTTATAATTTCAACGAAATAGTGTTTTCAGTGTTAAACTTATAACTACAATTAAACTAACTTTATTTTCTTTTAGATTGTGCTTCATAGTTCAACTATTATTATGCATCTTTCAGCTGTGCAATGCAACATAGTCATTAATAAGTAGCGTTATCATGAGTAGTAAAATTTCAGGGACAGCGTGAAGGTTATATAGGTCATGCTGCGTAAATTGTAGTTATTACCGGTTGTAATGTAAACTTTCTGAAACTGCCAACAAACTTGTTAACGGTTTCTGAGTGACTTTAGATTTTGAACTCCATCCCAACAATTGATTGGTCAACGTGCTCACCTCGTAACCTGAAGGTCCTGGGTTAGACAACCGATATGGTCATGGATAGTAGTTCCAAACTAAGACGAAACAATTGTTCAGCAGTTCCTGATATTTACTAAATGAAGTCAGTTAGTGTTTGAATTCCTACATATCAGTATCTGACTTCAGAAGTTTCTAAGTACAACTGTTATTTAGCGTTTTATAGTCTTGTATTATCAAGAAATGCATAAAAACACACACAAAATATGTACATTACGATTAAATAATTATGCCGAATAGAGCTTATTTTGTTCAAGTGTTGGTTTGCTGCAGGTATTCGATTGTTCTCAAGATTGATCATGAACCGACTTTAGTTAGAGAACTGCTGTGAAAATCATGAAGTTACTGAGCTGCTGTTTTGTCCTTCCTTGGGACTCTTCAGCAACACGAACACGTGACCTTTAGCTTATTAGGAGAGCTCGTATTTCATTGGGTCAATCGGACGGATTCCTATAGCCTATTGGTTCGATCCTCCTCCAATTGGTAGCTATATATACTGCTTCGTACTACAGCAATATACTGTAAAGCTATTTGTAGACACTGCGCCTTTTTATGGCGATAAAACACTCATTAGCTTGTTTCATCTGTTCGCTATTACTTTGAAGTTTGGAGGACAGAAGGAGTACTATAAATCTCAGTACGATGTGTATGTGCGGGTGTTTGTGTATACCCGTTGTAGTATTCGTCACCATTTTATTTATTTCTACCAACATACTTCAAGAGAAAACTATCCATACTTATCAACCAGTAAACACACGTTTAACCTATTTAAAAACAAAAAAAAATCAATCAAAGAAGACTTGTGTTTTCACTAGGTGTGCATGAATGGTCATACATAATGTGACAGACTTAGAAACCAAGCAATCACGTGTAGAATGATAATACACTGTATAAACCTGAGACATAAAGGATATTTAAGAGTGAATATGTTTATTCCACCAAGAGTATCTAATTAACTGAATATTAATCAGACAACCTGCATTAATCTATACATGTACTACACTGAACAACAGTTATATATATAAGACCTAATATGCTTGTCTCACAGGTATAATATTTTAATAATGGGTACATTGCCACCTTTGAACTAGATTGTATACAATATTTATGTAATGTCTATTGTGGCGCGCTGTCCACACAGTGTATTTAATTATCTAATAACGATTGATTGATTATGTTGCGTTTTTTATAGTAGAAATTTAAATAACCATTTAGAACAGATACAATGATTTATGCTTAATGTAGTATAGAAGCTGTTAGAATCGTGTATCGATACAAATTCTTGTCCTCTGCATATATATATTTCGAAGTAGAGGTAATTGAAGGGAAGTGAGGAGTAAAAGACAAAGTGATTGTGTTTACATGCGATGGATTATCAGTAGAGAAAACAAAAACAATTAAAGGGGTTAAATGGAGCTAGAAATGTGAATTTTCGCCATGTACACTATGATCCCAAGTCGTTGAGTTAAGTCACTAAGTAGATTGCATTTAAATAACTTGTAATTGTTTAAGGTTGAAGAGGGTTGAGTGAAAACTTGTCTACAGCTATTCTAATGAATCACCGTCATAACTTAATTCGACTTTTTCATAATTATTTTTGTAAATTACTTGGAAAAGTATCAACGGCAGTGAAGTCTGAAGATAGTTAATGACAAAACTTCAAGAGCGATGTTGTGTACCAGTTACTACAGTGGATTTTTGAAAAATCATGTTCACCATGACTATAAACAGTTAACAGTAGAACTCGAATAAATGGTAGGCAGAATTACTTGAAAATGACTGACACGAATACAAGTTGATTGTTCATTCCCCCATTGATTAGTCAATAGGATGTAACCAATGTCATATGTCTACTTCTTGATGTTAATGCAGACTGAATTCCATCAGTCAAGTGTGCGATGTGGTCGACAAGTTATGTGACTCGCTACTGCGATTCACACTGAATATATGTTAGATAGTTGGAGGCAATCCAGAGAAGGCCTTGACACTCTATCAGCAAGGGGATTGACGTCCCTTTTGAGATTCGAATCCGCATCACTCAGTGCTACAGTCAGAAACCTTACCGATGAGCTTCCTTTAGGACTTTAAAGGATACACTGGTGGGTATCAACAGCGAGGACTAGACACATGATATTAATTATGCTCTAGTTTCCAGACAAACGTTTCAATTTCGAATTAATTATGCCATATTCTTAGTGCGTGTTAGTACATAAAGTCAAGTCATTCCTGCAACTGACTGACTGACTACCTGAACGGCATAGAAATGTTGCAAATAAGGGCTTCATTTCAAACTATACAAATGTAAACATAAATATATGAAACCATAATAAACAAAAAAGTGTATATGTGGAGAAATGAATAAGTGAAGATAGGCGAACATTTAAAGAATCTGAAAGCTTACAGAGTTCGTACAACTGTTTCACTCTTTATGCTGTGTATACTGCACGCCATTTAATTACAGTACAAATTTCGACTGGTAAGTTCTGTTGGCCCATGGTTTCAACACTGAAGGCTTCAAAATGAAGTTGACGGAGAGGATTTTTAAGAGATTACGAATGGTGTTTTTTTTTACTCAAGCTACTACTACTAGCCGCGACGATACAGTTCTGAAAAATTATGTGGTGAACAGAACTTTGTTTGCTAACAGGGTAACATTCGTTTGCGCATTACTTGAGTCTTCATATAATCCCAGGGAACTTGAAAGAGATGCAGGATTGGTTTTGCATCACTGTTGATGCCAGAACACAACGGCTTGTTTGGATGCAGATCACTCTCCGTAGTGATATGCAGTCGAGTAGAGAGTAGGTTGGAATGTACGGCGTTTTATAACCCTTCCTTTCCAGAGTAAGATGCCTCGTGGCTCTCTTGCTGGTCTTCTAAGGTAAGCACTGTACATCCTCCACATTCCTGTCTATCAACATTATGACTTCACCCTTAGGCTCGCAACAGTTATTTTAACAGCGTGCATCGGATGGGTAATCCGTTTTTATCCCTTCAATCACGAGTGGAACATAGAGCTTTTAGCTTGGGATTTGCATCAGCGATGGAGTTATTTTACGGAGTAGGTTGCTAGCTTCACGCTCAACCTTCCATCTTCTCCGGGCTAGGCGGGGTTTAGGAGTGTATCTGTTGGAACCTCCCGCAGGGTTGGCGAGCATTCTCCCATATGACCACCGATGCACATAAGGGTAACTGCTTAGTTGCTACCCAGCTTACTTTTCGCTAATTGTAGGACTACCTTCATCCAGCGAAACTCGTTGGATCATGGCACACTACGAACCTGACCACCACCTCATCGCATAAATAAATCCACTTATGTTTTAACGAGGTTTCAGTGAGAAACCTGTGATGTATTTTTCCATTCTATCCGGAAAATTGTATTTAGCAGAAAATGAGTAGCTATATATAAAGTGGAATTAATTTTCTGTGTTAAAGTAAGCTCTATACGACACTCGTCTGCTAAATCTCACCAGTTTACTAATACTGTTGTATTTCTAGATTGCTTTTTGTTTCAAATATATTTTTATGCTAATTAGTAGTTACTAGTTTCCTGCTGTGAGTGTGTGTAGAATATTCGATTTTTATTCACCTTATATTAAGTTTGAAGTAATTCCAATCAAACGATTGTGAAACTTACACTGTGAATTCTTTTTGCTTTTTTTCGTTGTGATTTTAGGAGCATTTCAAGCTGTGCAACATGTATTTTTAGTTGGTGTCGGTGGTAGTGTACCTCACGTGTACGAATTCGATAAGCATTCCCGTTTGGGTGATATTGTAGTTAGTGCTGTGCCTCGTTCTGGTGGCCCGCATTCACCACCTTCAACTAATGGTAATAATACGAATCATAATACAATGACGAATGGTGTAGAAGACTCTATCTACATTTACTGTGATCGTTTAATTGAACCGCCTGAAGATACTGTTGACATGAAAACACCAAGATTTGTTTTGAAAAAATATGCTGCACGAGATTCAACTCTAGTCAATTGTGTAGAAAAGGTACTTGATCGTTTTGAAGCAGCTCCAGAGAAATGTGAATGGGCTCAAATATTGAATTCCACTTTAAGTTTATTAGGTGGAGAAGATGATCCTATTGATTTTGCTCGACCACCACCTGATACAGACAAGTTGAAATTAAAGGTAAGTCGTGACCTCTTTTCTCGGAAAGTTATTCATTGACAGTCAACATCTGCCAAATGAGATTGATAAGGTGTTTGCTAGCTACATAAATTACTTCGGCGGAAATTTACTTACTGCTTTCTACCGCTAATAATATGAGCTGCTGGATGTATGTATGTATTATAACTAGTATTTAGACACAATTATTGGATATTTGGAGGCAATCGGTAGGAAATTTTGGACCTAGGTTTCTTGCTAGTTGGCACTCGTCAGCAAGGCGTATCTGCAACCTTGAAGGAACTCATATCCCTTCTGAGATTCGAACCCGCGTCACCCAGTGCTGCAGTCAGAGACGTTACCACTGAGTTATTCGGGCTCGCGATTGACCTCCTAGCACGAAACCTAGGTCCAAGGCTTCCTGCTGATTGCCTCCAACTATCTAATATCATTAAGTCAATGTGCACCGTGATTGTGAGCTACCTATAATGGTGGTTACATTGCAAACCTGACTTATAGAATTCAGTCTGCACCAAAGAAAGGACTAGACACTTCACCTTAGTTACTAGTGTCCAATCAAATCAGACACAATTACGAGAATAATTCTCCAATGATAATTGTTTCACCATCTTGCATTTGTTGCATTAGGCAACTGAAAATCAAAGCATGCCAAAGGGTGCCGTCTCATGGATTCATTCCTAAAATGGAGTTGAAGCCGTCATTATATTTCCACATGAATGCAATTTATCATTTATTATTCCTGTGGGTTCCGAGTGAGACGTAGGGCTTCAGCAACACATTTCCATTTCATCCTGTTCTCTGGAATCCTCTTTAGCTGACTGTACTATTGCCCATAGACGTGCATCTCCTCTCCTCACTTTTGGACACACCCAACTAATCGTTTTTCGTTCGGGTTCCACTCGATAGCCTGGTGAAGAATGTCACTTAACTTGTATCTAATCCATCTCCATTTTCACTTTATTTGGCAGTTATTTTATCACTTACATCAGCAACAAAAAAATGACAGTTACGGTTAATTAGAAAGTATAATTTCGCATTTGAATGAGGAATCCCGTTAGGGGAAACATTGCAGTTTAGCACCTTATGCAGCACAAGAAAAAAAATTTTGGGCGTGGACGAAATGCAGAATTAGAAATTACTTGACATCAAACAAGTAAATGTACATAGCTTGTCACAATCACCACCCTTCTTCACAAACTGTTGGTTAATACAGAATAATGTACAATGTTTAAAGTGTGTTCAGCTAGATGTATTTCCACACACACACACACACACACACAGTATCTTTGACTGCCTGATTGATGAATAATGTCCTACATAAAAGCAAGTAACTGGGTTTTCCTCTCTTTTAAGAATCAAATATTTTTGTGTGTACAATAGATACGCGTCATAGCTAACTGTCAGGTGACATCTATCCACATTCCTAGTTATGACAGTAGATGATTTGTAACATTGCTTGTGCTATACAACTGTTTTCATCGATTAACTTAACTTTAATCGGTCATTGTGAATGATCAGACTGGAATTTTTCTTATTGATTATTATTATGTCTTGAAAGAGATTGTATGCCACTATGCATAATGTATATATACAGAACATTACTTTGTTTGGTGGGACTGTGGTTACCAATAAGGTATCACACGAAGATATTATTATAGCATGTGTTGTTGCATTAAACCCTATGCAGTCTGTCTGTAATTAGTGATTTGCTAAAGTAATAAATAAGGCTAATCAATAAATTCTATACAGGTTTATATTTTTTATCTTCTTCTAAACTATGTTGGCATAGATCAACGAAGGTGTAACCTTTGATATCAAACATCCCGATGTACCTGAAGAATTGTCACGTTTCTATCCGCCTGGTGTACCAGCTGTACGTCTCGGTTGTATGGGATCTGGTCGACCGGTCACAGATAACGACGCACTAAGGAATGACTTCGCCAAAGAATACCATCTACTGTGTTACGATGCTGAATATGATCAGGTAGGTTACTTTTCACTTATTAAAACACTCACCTGTTACTTTATGATATACAAATTGATAGAGCAGATATTTGAAAGATCCGTCGCCGACTGCGATCATTAAAGTTATCCAGAGTCATCACAGAATTCAACAGAGACAGTCGAAACTGCCCCCGGTTGGTTCTGTTCTAATAAATGCACCCGTTCCCTTGCGGGTCAGGGCATAATTACATGTATTAGCTCTAGAATTACTACAGTTATCCACGTAGTATGTGATCTAAGGAACCATAGCTGATTTAATGAGCCATTCGCGGTTTCACCGTTTTAAGGTATGTACCTAGACATGCATGGCTTAATCTCTGGCAAGCATATGACTACTGGCAGGATCAACCAGTTTATTCACAGTGATACACCCATTGACTGAGCATTAGTTTTCAGGAGAACCAAACACACCATCCCTGCCTCTTGCGAGACGAGACCAGCATGCAGAATCATCCTGTGGCGCAACCCCTGGACAGCCCTCTCCCTCGGTAGGCCATTCGCACCGTTGGTATGTAACAACAGAAGACAAGGGCCGGGAAACAGATCCTTTTATTACGAAAATCAACACGTATTTATATAAATTTCACATACATTATTATAGCCTAGTCAAGTAGACAAACGCAGTCTTCTGATTGGTTGTTTTCGAGTTCCTCGGAAAGTGGAGCCATCTATCTGCGAATCATATCTGCCCACGTTTAAGTTTGCTGTGATTAGTTGTTGAAACAGCTTTGTTCATATTTTCTCACGGTCCATATTCGTGACCTAGACATTGACGTAGATTAATGCCAACGAATTGGCTAGCAGGCTGCTCTCACCACAGGTATACATATTAATGCATAGGTAAGCACTGTTACGCCGATCATTGGTCGCTTCAATCAATTATGCACTGCATAGACAAGCCCAATAAAACTCATCTCCTATACAAGACTAGCCAAACGTATTATTAAATGCAAAAGTAGCACGCATAGCGATGCTATAGTGACAATAGGCCCTTATAAACGAAGCCAGCAGCCGCCAATTTCAATGAAATCGTTATTCCTGCCAACCAATTTAGCTTCTATACGTTTGCCAAGATTATAGATGCTCCATACAAAATCTCAGTTTGCGCGACGAATGGGTCACTGCACGGGCCCGAACAGGTGATTGTCTCAAGGTCACCTGCGAGCCTTTACCTTGAAGTCAGCCCACAATGTAGGGGAGTAGAGTCTAGACTTGTGTTTTCATGGTTTCTGGTGAGCGGAACAGATTCGCATACCATTCAATCCTTTCGGATACTCGAACTATAACTTTGGAATCGGGGTATTCCAGCTCTCCTAGGTAGACTTGCATGCCCATGAGTTCGGTTGTTAAAGCTCTAGACGTCCGCATATGCCCTTTCACTTTTGTGAAGGATATCTTCACCGTGTGAAGACAGTCAATAAGACTCACATGAGCGCATTTCAAGGAAAAAACCTGAGTCTACCGACCCTTATCCATACTAGGTCCTTTATTATATTTACGTACGCTGGAGCCTAGAAATCAGCCGTAACCTCTTCTAACTATTCGTTTTCTTTGTTCAATTTCAGGTGTTGGAGTCAGTTATGGGAAATGGTCTTGACTCCTTTATTCTTATTCGTGGGATAGCCGACTATGTGGAAGGCAGACAAGGCGCACAATGGCAACCGTATGCAGCACTTGCAGCAGCCTCTTTTATGAAGTCTATCATCTTACAATTACCATTGATTCCCTTACAAGAAGATTGATTCAAAACTCCGATTATCTCAAACCGCGATTGTTCATGCTTAATGCTTCACCCAAAGACTTTCACCAAGTCAATGTTTATATAACTTTAGGACGCTTTACCAGCTCTATCCTATCCATTTTGTACAGTTCCAGTATACACCTCTTGCCCGAGTTTCCTGCCTGATTAATAATTAGACCTCTCTATGTAGCATTATTTTTGTTCATCTCATGAAAAGAAACAAATTACTGCCATGTATTATATTAATATATATATAAGTATATTATAATTAATATCATCATTATCATTGTTTTGAAAATTCTATAAGTATATGTATACTGAAGCCAATGAAACATTTTACAAGAATAAAAGGAATCAACATTAAGCTTTTTTAGTAGTAGTAGTAGTAGAGGATGGGGTTAGTTTGGCTTGGCCTGGCTGGCTGGCTGTTTGAGGTGAAAGATAGAAAAACAAATCACATGTGTTTTATTTTTAACAATTTGAGTATAGTTTTTCTTTTGTGGTTGCGAGTAACAGAGAACATGAGTAACTTCTTTTGTTGAAGGAGAAAGTAAGGGGGGGTAACAAATATAAGAATGATTTGTTCGTAATCTATAACTAACTAGGTGTATTGTCTAACCTCAAAAAAAAAAAAACAACAACTATGCTTGTATCGCATGAAACAGAGTTAGAAGCCAAGAATTTTTTTTAAAAAAAAGCATTTAAGTACTACTGCTTCATTCAAGAAAACACACACACAGTAATCCCTCAGATACATCTGGGCTGTACACTTTATACGCATTATGTATATATATACGCAGGAGAGAGAGAGAGAGAGAGGGGGGCAACTGAAAAAAAGACATAGTGAGTTTTCACACTACTCAGAAAGACGCATTGTGATTGTGAATAAGAAGTTGTCAAAAAAAGAAATTTAGGGAAGTTAACCGGTTGTGTTAACATGTACAAATAGAAGGTGGGCAATATTTTCGGAACTTTGTTCATCAATCAATCAATCAGTGAATTGTTTGTTTGATCTTGTTTTATTTCCTTTTTAATACACCTATAGATATATATATGTACGTATATATAAAAATACATAAAATGAATTTCTGATTTTTGCATAACAAGCGCCTGAGATGAATGGTATATGCATAATGAAACTGTCAAATGCGTATTTAAATTGCAGCTTCATGTGAATTTGAACAATTGAACAACCATTCTTTGTAAATTAATGTACACACAATTGTGCTGTGTAAGAAATCAAACATATTAATATATTTTTATAATCAAAGGTATTAAAGACAATAAAACTGTTATGAGACTGATTTATCGTTTCAAATAATAATTTCTGAAATAAAGCATAGTACGGGTTGGGAGCATCATATTGCACCAAATACTGAATAGTGGTCAAGGCTTCGAAAAAGGTGAAATTGATAACATTTCTCCAGTTCATTTGAAATACAATACAGGTTGGGAAGGAATCTGTTTTGATAAAACAATGATTTACAAAACTACTGGAGATAAATTATCCGAGGAGAGGATTTTAAATGCTATACTTTACTGCTGGCAGCTCATATGCAAGATTGTATTGTTCATATTCCTACTTGTACTTGACTATTATAGAAACATAACTGCCAACATTTGCGATCAAAATATCAGATACTATTCTGACTCGCAAAATGCGTGGGAACTAGGCTACTATGTAAACGATATTCAGCAAAGTCTCCAAGAATTAATTTTCAACACTTTTTCACATAACACAAGCCGTAGTGGACCATTTTCAACTTTTGTCAAATTAATCTGACTTTGATCAACACTAATATTTTAGAGCGGATGATTGGGTGTGTGTCCCAGTGGTATATGAAAACTCAAACTTTTTCCGAAGCTCTATAAACCCTTCTGTTCCGCCTTTGATAGCCAAGTCTTCCAAGCATAGAGCAGAATTGTTTGACAATACTGAAATAAGGATTTTATCTAGCGCAGAATGTAATGCCATATAGGCCTTCATCTGCTCTGCAGTTTCGTCAGCAAGCAGTTTATTAAGGATGAACTAACTTGTTAAATAAGTAGATCAGTTAACGCACCTTTACTCACTTTACCTTCGAAGTAGACATCAAATAAAATTTAAAGTGTGTTTTCACACAAATATTGCTGGAGACTTCCAGCCTGAACTACTACAGACGTTTTCGTCAAATAATGTTATTTCCTCATTATACAAAATTTGTTCTATCTTCATTCAATAACATTTTGACGCTAGATGTTGACAACGATTTTCGGAATGTGTTAGTACACTTCATTCTGCGTGTCAGTATCCAGAAGATGAATTTCAAAATTAAAATCAATCCTTACTTGTGAATACTCTGTATGCAAATAAACTTACCCAGGGATCACGGTAGCTTTACATTAGGATGGTAGAAACTCTGCGCGACTGTGTCGCCAATCTGATGGACGTTGTCCACTTGAGCTAGAGAATGAGGCAGTGCTGCCTGACGACCCGCTTGCTATCCCTGATGTTGCGGAAATCCGGCTAGACGAGCCAACTACAGCAGCATTGTCGATACCAAGATTAGCGGTTTCAATGTCGAAAGCACGTAAAGCATCCGCATGGCGTTCCATTAACCGTCTCGTTTTCTTACGAGATTCTTCCTTCGTTGACTCAGCATTCTTTTTCATCTATGGTAGATATTAAAGCAAAGAGCTGTTGAGATTGTTTTTAAGGAAAAATCAATGAGTGGTTACCTATTATACTATAACAAGTTCACTCATATCCAACTTTTAATGTACGTAAATCTCGTAATCCCACTAAATGTGACAAACATTTTTTGCTTTGCGGTATAAAGAAATTGTCATACACTGATGCGTCTTATATTTTCATTTCAATCATATTTCTACAGACCTACTACTAGCAGAGATACTGAGGATATTAGCCAGATTTATATGAGGATTGTCGATACTACTCAGTTGCTCAAGCTTCAGTAGGTGGAGAGGAACTTAAGTTGTCCATAATCATAAAGATTAAAATAATGGAAGGTAAACAAACCTTACACAGAGCGAAACACAATTCATCGAAAGAGATTAAAAAGCGCTGAGAATTAAAAGTCTACATGCAGATAACTTACTGCAGCTTCTAGAGATTCTTTGCGGGCACGAATTCTATTCTCTAAATCTTCCCTTTGTCGCTGGTGTTGTTTCAGCATATCACGTCGTTGTTTTTCCTGGAAACTGGATAATATTTTCACTCCTTCTGAACGATTCTCTTTAAACTCTTTATTTTCACGAGCATGTGACGATTCAACTTTACCCTTTTAAGAGAAGAAAATGCTTGAATGATCAGTCTGTGTATTAATATTAATACTTCAACCGACACAACAGCATACAGTGAATGCTGAGTGATCAGTATTTTGAAAAATCATACGACAGAATTCAATATTACTTAAACGAATGAAGAATACTAGAAGTAGGAATCACAAAACAAAGAATCATTAAAATACAAAAAACACTTCTCAGTAATAAAGACGAATAATCACCAATATTGTCTTGGCGGTTATGGATTGTACCGCTCCCTAAAAAATGTCACTGAATATAGACAATCAATAACCAACGATTATTTTCAAGTCAATTTTTCCCAACTCCAGTCAGCAGAGGAAATATATTAGATAAGGATGGAGAAGATTTCTAGCTCTGGAAATATATTCAAGGGATGGAGTGACACGCTTCATAATGCTACATAGCCTATGAGATAACACATTAAAATATATGCCAGGTGGCAGGAAACACTCAGCGCTTAAGAACGAGGGAAACAAATGAAGCCAAGAAACTTGAAAGAAGTAAATTGGTGGTAAAGTATGCTGTATAATTTCTGCTTGATTCATAACTATGTCCCTTGTTAACTTATACTGATAGGTTACATTTGAGTTAAGAAGTATCCTAAATTAAGGTAGCAGTTTTCCCTTCTAGCATTCAGAACTACGTCTTTCATTATGAAATAATAATTGAGATCATGACTTGATATACCGAGCAGTTTTTAAAAGCGGCTTTTTGGGTCGAAATAAGTGCTAAAATATAAAACCATTTTTGTGCACAAGTGACAATAAGATCACAACTAGCCAAGGCATACCTATCGAATCAAATCTCTAGTCTGAACATATAAACATAGATTATGACAACGAATTCGGATACACAAGGCACTAGTATTTTCTATTCGAAATTCAGGCAGACAAAAAACTAAAGAACCCAGAAAGCCAATACAAGATAATAGATCCGAATATTTCTAAAGAAATTACAGGGTCCATCCATTTTGAAAAAGACGCACTGACGGTGATCACTTAGAGTATGATTGAAAGAGCTGTAGGCCAAAATATACCTGTTTACAACAAAACCATACAACAAGAATCTCTATTTCTTATCTCGTATACACATCATGAAAGTCAAAGTATTTTACGACGACAAAGACTGTAGGCAGGTATGAATATAGTGAGCTAAGTCCATGGATGACAATGTTTTTAGAGATTGAAACTACGGCAACATGCAGGTATTTTTAAAATTTCAACGCTAGTAGTTAGAGAGAATACATTTAAGGGAGACTCTGCACTTTATACTTTCGAAAAGCTAGTGGCAACTCATGAGTTAAGAGTCATAGTTATTTGTGACGGGTGGTGTTGGAAAGGAATCCGAATCCACCAGCTGGAAGTCATGTACTAAAGTCAATCAGTCACATCCTTACAGCAGTGTGCATCTAAAACTCCACCGGGAATTGATCTCAGGACTCTCCGCTTATGAAGCGACCAGATAAATGAACCAATCCCAAACAATCACCGCAATCGCACACTACACTACAGAATCGCAATGCTAAACCTCAAAAAACCCTTTAACATATTCAGTAAGTAGAGTTGAAAAATCGGAAACATTGTTACAATACAAAATATGTATACAAGGATATTTATAAGTTTATGAGACTTAATTAAGGCGTTTTGCAGCATTTTACAGAATTAAACAAAAATTAGAATCCTATTTAGTAACTTA